TAGTTCACTATTAACTAATCGATAACTACTATTTTTTTAATACTTCCCAGAGAACTACTGGAAAAGTTTATTAACAATCTAGTAACTACCATTAACTAAAAGAAATACTTATTAACGAATTAGTAAGTAATAGCTCACAGATGAAAGTGTTACTAGATACTTCTGTGGGAATTACTAATTATTTGGATTCGTATTATAAAGTGAAGATCATTGGAACTAACTAGTAATTACTCAAGTGTTACTACATGATCTAGTCATGATTTGTGCAACCGTTTGAGATTTTTGGTGAACTTTAGTAACTTTTAGAAAATGTCTTTAGTAACACTTGAGTAATTACTAGTTAGTTCCAATGATCTTCACTTTATAATACGAATCCAAATAATTAGTAATTCCCACAGAAGTATCTAGTAACACTTTCATCTGTGAGCTATTACTTACTAATTCGTTAATAAGTATTTCTTTTAGTTAATGGTAGTTACTAGATTGTTAATAAACTTTTCCAGTAGTTCTCTGGGAAGTATTAAAAAAATAGTAGTTATCGATTAGTTAATAGTGAACTACCACTTCCGTCTGTGCGCTATTACTTACTAGTTCGTTAATCAGAGTTTCTTGTTAGTTCATAATAGTTACTAGATTGTTAATATTGTGTTACTCATTAGTTCTTGTGTAGTTATTCATTAACGAAGGAACCGTATTCTAAAGTGTTACCGATTGTTGTTGTACTAGAGCAGCATCCATATTTGCTCATTTTCTGTGTGGAATATGCTGAATAATGGTGAACAAACCTTTATTGCAGCTCTTTTATTGGTAAAACAAAGTTCAATGCAAGAAAATACATACTATCCTAGTCACTACACTGATGTGGTCAAATAATTCACACACCTCTCCACACACTTAGACAAACGATGTTTACAGTATTTTTTAAGTATATATGTTCTCTATTTTTTGCTGTTGTATTCTCTAACTGAAATGCACACAATGAATGTTTTTTTTCGATAGCTAGAGCAGCTTTATACATTTTATGTGGACTCCAGTCATTTGCTTTGATGAGATCTCTTCTGAAAGAGTTCATTATCTCAAGAGACAAATCTGGGACACAGAAACATAAGCTAAAGTCTGCACTTGATCTCTGTATGTATATGTATATTTTTAATGTTATCGTCCCAATAAGAAATTTGGCCGATATATATCAAAGATGAGAAATTATTTATTATTTTAAATAAATACGCTGTTCGCCATGACGATTGGAATCACTTCAAAACAGAAAATACAGTTAATTGCAACATGTGAAGCACAAGTCTGCCATATAGGCTACATAAAATTATGTATATGAATGTGAAAATTATTATAATTGTGTGTTTAGGACTGGCTTTTAATGGTGAGACTTTTTTTTTTGTATTCAGGCAAAATTTACAATAAGGTTCCATTAGTTAAAGGGGCCGTATGCAAGATTGTGGCCAAAACTGGTACTGCAATCACTTTCAGATTACTGTAGAGCGGTGTATCCCTGTAGAGCGGGCAACACTACTGACTCCGTGATTGGTCGATCGGTGAGGGGGCGGAGCATCAGAACAAAACACAACATGACAACATCAACTTCACTTTCTAAATGTCTAGTGACATATCAGGGCCATTTTATGATTATTTGAAATACATTTCTTGCATACAGCTCCTTTAACAATAGTTAATGCGTTAGTTAACATCAGTGTTGGGTAAGTTACTCTAAAAAAGTAATTAATTACTAGTTACTAATTACCTCTTCAACAGTGTAATTAGATTACTGTACTAATTACTCTCTCTAAAAAGTATTTAATTACTTTTAATTACTAATTACTTTCAAAATCCCATATCGATCTCAACCAGCTGAATAATACAATGATAGACATGAATCTGTTTTAATTCTTTCAAATAAACACTATAAAATTGCATGAATTATCCTTAAACTGATCAAGGTGGAGAAGGTTACATTATAAAAACATACTTTTTAGCATCAGACAATACATTTTGATGTTAAACCCACTATTGTTTTATGTCTGATCTCATGACATTTCACACTTTTTTCATACATATTTTACAATAATTCATACGAATTTGTACGAGTGCGGTCGTACGATTTAGACACCTATACACAGTATATACCTCAATTACATCAGAAGTAACTGTAATTAAATTACAGATAAATTAAGAGTAATCCCTTACTTTACATTTTCAAGGGAAAAGTAATTAAATTACAGTAACTAATTACTTAGTAATTAGTTACACCCAACACTGGTTAACATGAAGTAATCATGATCAACCTCAGCTGTTTGAGGCTTCAAGTCAGCTCTTACACTTTACACTTTCTATTTTAACTGTGACTAGCTCTCTTTATTTGAGGATAATGATCTCCTCTTCTCCACTAAGGAAGATAGATATTGAATTTAGGATTCATATGGTTACAGTTTTCAATTATGACTTGGGTTTATGCATAAACATGGCCAGAAAACAAAAACATGACTTTTTTTAATCACTTTTTTTTCCTTATAACATTGTGAAGGTCTTAGATACTATCCATTTTGGCCTTCATAAACGTAAGTGCTGTTACTTAAACAAATGGAACAGATGCACCGTGACTCTAAACTCATTTGTCTATTTCAACCCAGACTGATGCTGTCACACACCCAAAAACCCCATCATCAGCATGCAGAGAGAAACTGTCACTCACACCAGAATACACACATAATGCTGGATGTGAAAATATTATAGAGGGTTGTCTAGATATTTCACTGGAACTAACATTATGTTTTATCTTATATAACATTATGTTCTATCCATCCATCCATCCAAAAATGTTCTGCTATTATTACAAGCCGAAGATGTGAAGTGGTGCTTGCATTGGCAAAAATCACCACCCGGTTGCTAGGGTGTTCTGGGTGGTTGCTACGGTGTTTTGGGTGGTTGCTATGTGGTTGTTTGGGTATTCTGGGTGGTTGCTATGGTGTTGCTATGCGGTTGCTAGAGTATTCTGGGTGGTCGCTAAGGTGTTCTGGGTGGTTGCTAGGGTGTTGCTAGGTGGTTTGTAGGTTGTTCTGGGTGGTTGCTAGGGTGTAAATTCACTTTTAATGATAAAAAGCAGCTTCAAAGTAATAAACAGGAAAATAGCAGATTCACTGATGCAAACTTGATCAAATATGAGACAAATGCAGCTCTAACAAGACAAAAGTGCCATTTTTCTAACCCTAACCCTAACTGAGTCAGCTCTGTTCAATAACAGTGTTAATGCTGCAAAATTGGTTGTTTATAATACAAAATTGTTTCAGCTATAAAGCAGAAAATAGTATCATCATCCATAAGCAAGCCAAAAGCAACCGTGTCAAGGAACCCAAACTCCATCAGGTGACAGAAATGAATGAAGAGACTCATTCGAGGGGCAAGTTCTTCTCTGGCCAAATAAACTAACATGGGATGATTTTGAATCCAGACTGCATGACAAGTTTGACTAGTTTGATATTTTTAAGATTTAAAAACATGGTTATGCAATTATTAGAAATGGGGACTCTCCATAGTGCTAAGCTATCTAAATGGGGACATTATATAGACGTGATGGTTATTATACTGTACAAACTGTATATTCTCTCCCCTTACACTAACCCTACCCCTAAACCTATACCAATCACAGAAAACCATTTTTACATTAAAAAAAATAAATTAAAAAAAAATCTATTTTTTTTTATTTTTATACCAGATTTACAAATGCGGACGGAGATTTTTGGAGATTTTGTCAGGGTTTGGTCACTTCTGGGTACAAATATGTCCCCAAAATATAGTTTATACATGAAAAATAAGTAGTCACACAATTTCGAGACAAGAGTTTAATTATGCTATAGGAACGTACCATTGCTGGAGAATGGGTTATATTCCATTTTCAGTGGATTGTAAATTCCAACTGCATAAGAGAGTAGATGTGTTAAATCTCGTTTGTGTGTTTGTCCCTCCTATCGGTGTAATAGTGCTGTCCGCCAGTGCAGATGTGCTTGTGTGTGTCCAATTATTGTGCCCTGGATTTCAGCCGAGTGGAGGCCTTACTGAGCGAAAACACTTAGGACAGTCTGTAATCCCATATGCCTTAGTGCAATGGTCATCACAATGCACTTCACACACAATGATTAAGAATAGGTCTTAATTGGTCAACCAACCACACAAAACACACTTGTGATGAACAATACAGAGATTTATACAGTCATGACATTGTCACAACACAAATGGGACGGCACATCCTGGTATACAGTAATCATGCCCTAAACTAAAGACAATGTCATGAGGAAACAAGCCATTTTGTCTAGTCTCACTTTTGCCACTTTTGCCCTCAGACTTCAGTCTTCGCCTCATCTATTCAGCTTACAGATCATATTTACTTCATTCCAAAGACATCACTTCCAGCAAACCTGGGAAACCCCTTTCACCACAGAAGGGAATACCTCCAGTTTCCAGCTGAACTGGTGACTTTCAGTGTTTGGGAACTAAAATACTTGAAACAAGAAGAGATTTCTTCGTTGAGTATGGATAGAAAACCTGACTCGTTCTCTATGAGTGGCTGTAATAATGAGATGCAGTATATTAAAACGAATTAATTTCCCAAGTGCAGCTTGGAAAAGAGATTAGAATTTTCCATTAAAAAAGTAAAATAACCAGAGAAAAGCTAGAAAATTTAAGCATGATGGTTTTTCAAAGATATGCAAAATAACTCCTAAATCCTTTACCAATTACATGCTCAAATATTTAAATGCAAACATCATATCAAATAGGTAAACTCTAAACTGGAAGGAAAGAGCCAACAGCCCTTGAAGAGGGGAAGAATTTAAACGAGTCGATGCCATTGAGCTGTTATGAATGATGTGTGTATTCAGCAAGTTCTTCAGTCAGGACATTTTCTTTTTCTTGTGTGAATGTGAACTTGAGACTGCTGAACAATGAACATGTTAAGAACGACACTGACTTTTCAATTCTTTCATTCCCTGCAGGAATTGCTTATAGAGAGTGCTTGGACAATGGGACATGGGCACTGAAAAGTAACTACTCCAACTGTGAGCCCATCTTAGAGGAAAAGGTGAGTAAATAAGACTGAACTGCACTCACCTTAACTTTAGCTGATGATTTACTCACCCACATGTCATCCAAGATGTCCGTGTCTTTCTTTCTTCGGTCGAAAAGTAATTAAGGTTTTTGATGAAATCATTCCAGCATTTTTCTCCATATAATGGACTTCAATGGGAACCAAACGGTAAGACAGTTTCAGTGCAAACTGTTCAAAGGGCTTTAACCCTTATGCTGCATTAGGGACATTTTTGGTCTTTTGCAGTTTAATTTCTTTGACCATTTTGGCTGTTTTAATGCAAATGGTATGAAATTTGGCAAAATTGTGACTTTTTGGATACATGTAAAAAATGTGATCCCATTTTGCAAAATATGTATAACACACACTGTGTAGATCAAATAGTAACACTCAGCACCATAAAGACCAAAAATGGCCCATTGAAACCCATTAAAACGTTGTTTAAATCTGAGGCTGTCAGTAATACATGAAACATGATTTTTGCACAAACATCCTTTCATTTTGAAGCAAAAGCATTATATTTGCATTATATAGTGATGACGTCACTACATATTTATTCCCTATGGGTGGAAATGCACCTTATTTTAGGCAATAGGCAATGTTTAATAGGTGGCCATTTTTGGTCTCTAACGCGCTAAGTGGGATTTTTTGCAAAGTGGGACTGTGATAATCCAAATCTAAAGTTTTCTCTTTGCATTTAGTTTATTGAAAATAATTGAATTTTTGTGTTTTTTCCTCTTATACAAATCGATGGTTTCGCAAACAAAACTGGTAATTAAAGGGTTAAAATCCTGAAATTGAATACATTTTTGGTAGTTATGATGAGGACTGATGCTGGTTAAAAGATTTAACTTGGTAAAAGTGGAAAATAATAATAATATATAATATTTTAGGCAATGTTTAATATGTGGCCATTTTTGGTCCTTAATGCACTCAACGGTGTTAAAAATCTAATGCAGCACAAGGGTTAAACGACTCCAGACGCTGAATAAGGGTCTTATCAAGCGAAACGATCGCTCATTTAATAAATAAATAACAAAGTTTAAATTTCCAGTTCCTTCGTTTTGTTCGTTGAATGAACCAAATGACTCGGAAAAAGAGTTCGAACTGGAGAGTCGAGCAAGGCGAGCATTTGTGCTTATAAAACTTAAACTTTGTTATTTATTTTTTTAAATGAGTGATCGTTTCGCTTGATAAGACCCTTATTCGTCGTCTGGTGTCGTTTAAAGCCCTTTGAACAGTTTGCACTGAAACTGTCTTACAAGTTTGGTTCCCATTGAAGTCCATTATATGTAGAGAAATCCTGGAATGTTTTCATCAAAAACCTTAATTTCTTTTCGACTGAGGAAAGAAAGACATGGACATCTTGGATGACATGGGGGTGAGTAAATTATCGGCAAAAGTTGTTTTTAAAAAGTGAACTACTCCTTTAAGTGATGTCCTCAGGATTGTTTATAACATTTCATTAGTAAAATAAGAATGATCGACCATCACTTGATTCCCCTGGGAATGTATGTTCAGTTCAGACTCAACGGGTCACATTGGGAAATAATTGTCCAGCTGGAGTCCTGTCAGCATGAAGGATAGCACACGAGGGAGGAGGATAGCTTCCCTGTATAGCACAGCGTTGAAATCGCCTGCAATCCGATGATGCTGTGATGTGACGGACCCCCACCTCTAAATCGAGAGAACACACCTCAACAAATGCGAGACCCATCATCACCTCTGGAGAGAGAAAAACGTGACTTTTCTGTTAAGATCACTTTTCACCATTCCTGTCTCGTCCCTCATTGACATCCGGTAAACACTTTCCTTACAACAAGCCCTCAGTCCAGCCTCTCTCTTCCTATTGCGGACAGTCTGAGCACATTACAGTTGCTTTAGGCATCCTTTACCAATGTGTGATTTTCTAACACTCATCCTTGTGTTGTTACACTGCGAGGACATCTTTCTCTCTCACTGTAGCACTGTCTTAGGTTTATCACAGTGCAGATATCGCCATTGCCCTGGCCCAACCACGGGCTTCTTTCTTTTGGTGTTTTTCAGAGTCAGTAAAAACGTCTCTTTGGTGTCCTAAGCTTTAATAACTGTAAACCTAAGTGTCTTAAAGGGTTAGTTCACCCAAAAATGAAAATTAAGTCATTAATTACTCACCCCCATGCTGTACCAACCCCGTAAGACCTTCGTTCATCTTCGGAACACAAATAAAGATATTTTTGATTGAATCTGAGGGCTGGATCACTCTTCCATAGACAGCCTGAGGGACTGCCTCTTGACGGCCCAGAAAGTCATTAAAATAAAAGGTTTAAATATTCCATGTGCCTACAGTGGCTCAACTATAACTTTATCAAGCGACAAGACTACTTTTTGTGCGAAAAAAAAAAACGTAAATAACGACTTTATTCGACTTTCCATTACTTCCTTATGGGCGCATGCGCGAGAACTGAGACGAGACCGTTCTTCTTCGACTACTTTTTGTTACTGGCTGCTCACCGCTTAGGAGTTTTACCGCCCCCTACCGTATAAGATGACGTACTGATATAGCTGGAGGCGCAAAACGTTCTGTTTACAAGCAGTACGTCATCTTATACGGTAGGGGGCGCTAATACTCCTAAGCGGTGAGCAGCCGGTAACAAAAAGTAGTCGAAGAAGAACGGTCTCGTCTCAGTTCTCGCGCATGCGCCCATAAGGAAGTAATGGAAAGTCGAATAAAGTCGTTATTTACGTTTTTTTTTTCGCACAAAAAGTAGTCTCGTCGCTTGATAAAGTTATAGTTGAGCCACTGTAGGCACATGGAATATTTAAACCTTTTATTTTAATGACTTTCTGGGCCGTCAAGAGGCAGTCCCTCAGGCTGTCTATGGAAGAGTGATCCAGCTCTCAGATTCAATCAAAAATATCTTTATTTGTGTTCCGAAGATGAACGAAGGTCTTACGGGGTTGGTACAGCATGGGGGTGAGTAATTAATGACTTAATTTTCATTTTTGGGTGAACTAACCCTTTAATGATTGTTCCACAGACTATTTTGGATTTTGCAAAGTTATCTTTAATATATACGGTAGCGTGAAAATTGATTATTACCATTTTTTTTTTTTTTTTTTACAAAACATTAAGTTTGCCAGACAGAGAATGTCTTTCTCCAGTCAGCAAACGAGATGTGTGTGTGTTTTTGTCTGCTCGCTAACAGGACCCTGAGGCGGCTAAACAGCAGGGAAACCTGTTTCAAGATGGGGTATCTGACTCAATTGCCCTTTTTCCACCAAAGCATTTAGAGAGCCGTCTGTGTGTTTCGACAGCCAAAGAACCGGGAAATCCAGGGAAATGGTTGATGAAAAATGGATTAAAATTAAAGGAGTGGTTCACATTTGAAAAAAATTTTGCTGATAATTGACTCACCCCCATGTCATCCAAGATGTCCATGTCTTTCTTTCTTCAGTCGAAAAGAAATTAAGGTTTTTGACGAAAACATTCCAGGATTTCTCTCCATATAATGGAGTTCAATGGGAACCAAACAGTAAGACAGTTTCAGTGCAAACTGTTCAAAGGGCTTTAAACGACTCCAGATGATGAATAAGGGGCTTATCAAGTGAAACGATCGGCCATTTAATAAATAAATAACAAAGTTTAAGTTTTGCTCTGTTCTGTGATGCACGTTCGTGACTCTTTTGTTCGAACTCGTTGAGAAAATCTTTTTCCTAGTCATTTGGTTCATTCAACGAACGAAACGGACGATTTGACTCGGTAAAAGGTTCATTCATTTTGATGAACGAGTTCGAGGACGTCTTCACTTTAAAGAAAGGCTTTCTACTTAATTTAGTGGTCAAAATCATGCCTGACCCATCATATCTTCCGATATATTGCGCATCTTACTCACTCTGTTCAATTTTCATAATCAGAACATTAGAATATTTTAACAAAAATATTATTAAATGCGCTTATTTAATGGCTACTATAGTGGGCCTATACACACTCTCTACATATTAAAATGAACATTAAAAATGCTGTAGAGGTGCAGTTTATTAAAAGTGTTCCCGATTTTTTTTGAGGTCTCGTGAGTTCAGTGTTGGACAGGTCAGTTGTTTTAACTATTCATTAAAGTGAAAGGTTCAAATGAGTTGTTTGTGTATCGGACGTTTGTGTGATTGTCTCGGCAGTTTCAGGTTTGCGTCACTACAGAAAACATTTAATCACTGGATAGGTTTTTCATTGAAAACATTCGCTGGGCTCACTAGTCAGGAAAGACAAACAGGTTCTGAGAGGGGTCGCAAGTTGAACCAACTGTGAACCAGCACGAACCTGTTCTTTTTTTGGTGGAAATGAGGTGAAAACTGCAGAATCTCACAGACAGGGAGGAGAGAGGCGGTCTGACACACTTCTCAGATCACTAATATGAGGATCTCAACATGCACCACGGGGACTCATTTTGTTGAAACCACGATGCTTGTGTGAGCCAAAACACTTCTCCGCCCGCTCCGAAATCCAAAGTGACGGTGAACAGGCAAATATTCAAGCCCAAATGTGAGTTTCCAGACTTGAACACAAGAGTTCATGTGTAAGATGGTCCGGGGAAGATGGAGAGAGCCTCGAGCTCCACATCTCCACCAATACGACTGTCAGGTGATTGCTCTTTTTCTCGAAAGAAAGCGCACTTTGAGTGAAGCACTTGATTTTTGCATATCAATGCAGTGTGAAGAGCTCGGAAGGAGCCAAAACACTGAACACATTTACAATGAGTGTCCTTGATCATAATGAGCAAGACCACGGGCGCACACACTGATGAAAATGGCTTTGAGTTCCACACTAAGGGAAGATTAGCTCGACTTCAAGCCACTCGCCGAAACACAATAAAGCTGAAGACAGAACGGCCAGATAAACCGTCTTCCTGATGAAGAGAAATCTGAGGACGGATGACACTTGAAAATGGTCCTTTATAAGTGTACTTTCTGCTTATTGGTTTATACGGCACGACTAAAAGCTTCCCTGCGCAAATGATCGGTTTAAATCAATTAATGCTATTAATGTCATTGCTTTTAGGATCTGTTGAAAACGTTCTGAATGACATGCATATCATATCCATTTGGCTCAATTATTTAGCTTTTACACATATTATGAAGTAGGCCATATTTGACATGAGTTCACTCGGTAACACTTTATTTTACAGTGTCCTTGTTACATACATTGTTTTAATGGACAAACCCAAATGTTGGGTTAAAAATGCATTAATTCATGCTTAACTAATACACAGATAATCATGAGTTAATGTATAACGAATGAAGAACTAAACCATTAATTAAGGATTACTGCATCAGCAACTAATAAAGAGTCATTATGATTAATAGGTTAAGTAATACATGAATTGCTATTAATTCAATGTGTGTATTAATTCCTTAATAACATATTTTATTAACTAATAGTGTAAATGAATGTGTTAATTACCACAATTAGTCAAAGCTATGCACTTCAACTTCCAGTTGTCTGCTTTAATTAATCATTAGCTAATGATTTGCAAAGGTATCATTATGTTATGACTTTACTTGATGGGGCACATCATTATTAACTAGTCATTTAGTAATTGTAGTAATTTGCACATGAATTTGCACTAGCAAGTAAGTAATTAATCATATATTAATGCATATTAGTGTACCTGTCATATTATCTGGAAGTTGAAATACAAGGCTTTGGCTCATTCTGGTAATTAACACTATTAGTTAAAAAAATGAGTTATTATGGAATTAATCCACAATTAAATATTTGATTAAAAACAATTAATGTATGAACTAATACATTAACCTTACAGACTCTTAATTAGTTCCTAATGTGGTAATCATTAATGAATAGCTTAGATAATCATTACTTACACATTAATTCAGTATTATCTGTGCATTAGTTAAGCATGAATTAATGCTTATTAGTGCACCCGTATTGTAAAGTGTTACCGTGTATTTGTTATATTATCACACAGTCATCAGTAAACTTCTCACTTCACGACTTCTGCATAAGGACAGTCGAGTCCTCAGTGTTTTGTGACTTTCTTGCAAGGACTTGAAAATATTAAGCAAGGACAAAATGGTCATTGAGTAATAACTATTGATTTGTGCTAAAATTGCAGTCATTTATCATATTATATCATATCACATGCTAGTAAGAGAATGAATGACTTCATTATCATGGCAGGATTAATAATGCATGTGTTTTCCACAGAGGAAGTACCCCATGCACTACAAGATAGCCCTCATCATAAACTACTTCGGCCACTGTATATCTGTCGGCGCTCTCGTCATTGCCTTCGTTCTCTTTCTGTGCTTGAGGTAAGTGTGTCAGCGACGTCTCCGCACTTGTGAGTACAGTCGTGTGCTAAGGCCAGCTTGTTCAAAATCTACAACAAATATACACTCACCTGAAGGATTATTAGGAGCACCACACTAATACTGTGTTTGAACTGCCTTAATTCTACGTGGCATTGATTCAACAAGGTGCTGAACGCATTCTTTAGAAATGTTGGCCCATATTGATAGGATAGCATCTTGCAGTTGATGGAGATTTGTGGGATGAAGCTCCCGTTCCACCACATCCCAAAGATGCTCTATTGGGTTGAGATCTGGTGACCGTGGCGGCCATTTTGGTACAGTCAACTCATTATTATGTTCAAGAAACCAATTTGAAATGATTTGTGACATTATCCTGGTGGTAGTAGCCATCAGAGGATGGGGACATGGTGGCCATAAAGGGATGGACATGGTCAGAAACAATGCTCAGGTTGGCTGTGGCATTTAAACGATGCCCAATTGGCACTAAGGAGCCTAAAGTGTGCCAAGAAAACATCCTCCACACCATTACACCACCACCACCAGCTGCACAGTGGGAACAAGGCATGATGGATCCATGTTCTCATTCTGATTACGCCAAATTCTGACTCTACCATCTGAATCTGATTGGTTGATTAATGGGAAATTGAACATGTGTTCCTAATAATCCTTTAGGTGAGTGGATATATTTTAAATTTAGGGTCAGATTTACTAAACGGCACATAAGTCTACTTGTCAGCGCCTGGTTTAAGACAGACTTTTTGTGGGTGGTAAATAATGGTGTGAACACCAGTAAATTGACTCTCCTTCCATACATTCAGCATCTAAAAAGGGAACCTCCTACAAATGTATATAATATGAGCCGCACAAATAACAGTCCACATCTTTTCAGCACACATTTTTCACTGTGTGTCTTCAGTAAATCCTGACAGAAGCTTTTCGACGGCTGGAAAAGATGGTTTGCACCATCTAATGACTTAAACATAATTATGTAATTGACTTAAACATAATTAAGATTGTATATACACTAAAGGAAACATTCGCTCATTCTCTTTTTTTTGTGGAACACTCAAAGATAATATTTTGAAGAAGTCACTGGTGTTTTTTTTTCATTAAATGCCAAATAATGGGGAATTTTGATGTTTATTTTATATTGTCATTTAAGGGACCCCCTCGAAAATGAGATGGTTCATCTCAAGGGGCTATCCTTAAAGCAAATAAATAAACAAATATTAAAATGACATTAAAGCATAAAAAATCAAATCTTCTGAAGTCATATGATAGCTTTATGAAAAAGACAAGTCATCTTTCCTTGTGCTCTTGTGTAGTAATTGATTTTTGTTGAATTGATAAGGGTGGTGCAGGACTGAAAAAATAAAAAATGCTGGGTTGTTTGAACCCAATTTTGGGTCAAATATGGACAAACCCAGCCCTTAGGTTACATTTTTTTAATTACATTTTTAACCCAACGTTTGGGTTTGTCCATATGTGACCCAAAATTGGGTTAAAACAACCCTGCATTTTGTGTGAGTGTGTAATTACCGGTGTGTGTATGGCACATTGTTTTCCAGTTTAGCTTGTCAATAGTTCACATGGTGGCCGTTTTCAGCTATCTTCACCTCAGATCATTTAATAATCCCATAGCGCACGAGTGTATTGAACAGTGTGCTGGGTTGAATGTGTTCATGCGATCTGCGCTGTTAATCGTGTGAGTTATTCGCCATGCGTAACTGATGTGAGTTCATAACCAGCGCTCTGGTCTTCTGTCACTCACACGTGACAGCTATTTATGGAAAGACAATGAATTCCAAACTGCATTATGTCATTATGAATGCATTGTAACTTTTCCAGTGCATTTCATGTGTGTAAGTCCTGCACCAATGAGAATCACTATAACACAGATATGGACACCCAATCCATTGGTGGATGCAGATCTGCTGGGACAGTCTCACACACAGTCAGTGGAGTGTACAGTAGACATATTAATCGCTTGAGGAATTGCTGAAATTAAACATGTCATTTTTATAGATATGCAGACCTATGGAAAACCCTTTGAGCATTCATTCAATATCCTACTAGTACGCATTTATTTTATCTTACTAGTAAAACTTTTGACAAAATGGCGAACTAGTAGACCAAAAGTTTCAACTAGTTGGCTTTTTGACGAACTAGTGGCCATCTGGACCAAACTAGTAAAGCACAAAGGCGTACTAGTTAACTAGTGAGCAGCTAAACCTTTAACATGTTAACTAGTCAAACATAAATTCAGCTTACTAGTTAACTAGGATGGCAATTTAATACTAGTTAAATAGTGAGCATTTTGGCTCTCACGAGTTAACTAGTTAAGCCCAAAATGTCCACTAGATAATTAGTTGACACGTGTTGGAACTTACTAGTTAACTAGCAAGGCATAATTGTTAACTAGTACAAGCTTAAATGTCTATGTTAACTAGTACATTTTTTAAACCTTAGTTAACTAGTGAAAGCCAAAACGCCCACTAGTTAACTAGTTGAACTGTTTTTTACTATACTAGTTAACCAGTGATGCTCAAATTTTTTAACTAGTCGGCGACTTGACCAAAGTAGTTTGACAAAAACATGCACTAGTAGATGACTGCGCATGGCTAGTTAACTAGTGAAGCAATAAAATTTTACTAGTCAACATGTATGACAGTTACAGCACTTCACTAGTCAACTAGTGCGCGTTTTTGTCGAACTAGATCAAAAAATTTCAAACTAGTTCGGTCAAAGTCCTTACTAGTTCGGCTTTGCACTGAACTACTGTAGTAAGACAAAATTAGACATTTTAGCTTGTACTAGTTAACTAGTATGACAACACGTGTCAAGTGTTATCTAGCGGACATTTTGGGCTTTACCAGTTAACTAGTGAGAGCCAAAATGCTCACTAGTTAACTAGTGCAGAAAATTGCCATCCACTAGTTAACTAGTAAGCCGAATTTATGTTTGACTAGTTGTTAAAGGTTCTGCTGCACACTAGTTAACTAGTACGCCTTTGTGCATCACTATGCTTAATGCTTATGTATTTCCATAATCAGATCATGCAATGCTGAAACTGTGTCCTATGGAAAGCCCTTTGAGTATTTATTCAATATCCTACTAGTAAGACTTTTGTTCAAACTAGTTCGACAAAATGGCTAGTTGGCTTTTTGACGAACTAGTGGCCATCTGGACCGAACTAGTAAAGCACAAAGGCGTATTAGTTAACTAGTGAGCAGCAAAACCTTTAAGATGTTAACTAGTCAAACATAAATTCAGCTTACTAGTTAACTAATGAATGGCAATTTTCTTCACTAGTTAACTAGTGAGCATTTTGGCTCTCACTAGTTAACTACTAAAGCCCTAAATATCCACTAGATAACTAGTTGACACATGTTGGAACTTACTAGTTTACTAGTAAGGCAAAAATTGTCATACTAGTTAACTAGTATGAGCTAAAATGTCTACTAGTTAACTAGTAAAAACATTTTAAAGCCTACTAGTTAACTAGTGATGCTCACAATTTTTTTTACAATTTAACTAGTATGAGCTAAAATGTCTACTAGTTAACTAGTAAAAACCTTTTAAAGCTTACTAGTTAACTTGTAAAAACATTTTAAACCTTACTAGTTAACTAGTGACGCTTAAAATGTTTCGAACTAGTGACGAACGAGTTTCGAACGACTTGACCAAACTAGTTCGACAAAAACGTGCACTAGTCGATGACTGTGCACGACTAGTAAAATAGTAAAGCAATAAAATTTTACGAGTCAACATGTATGACAGTTACAACACTTCAGTAGTTAACTAGTCGTGTGCAGTTGTCGACTAGTGCGCACTTTTTTCGAACTAGTCCGGTCAAAGTCTTTACTAGTTCAGCTTTGCACTGTACTAGTGAGACAAAATTAGACATAGCTCGTCCTAGTTAACTAGTATGACAATTTTTTGCCTTTCCAACACGTGTCAACTAGTTATTAAATGGACATTTTGGGCTTTACTAGTTAACTAGTGACGCTCAATTTTTTTTTTACAAGTTAACTAGTATGAGCTAAAATCTCTACTAGTTAACTAGTAAAAACATTTTAAAGCGTACTAGTTAACTAGTGAAAGCCAAAATGCCTACTAGTTAACAAGTTGAACTGTTTTTTTACTTCACTAGTTAACTAGTGATGGTCAAAAGTTTTCGAACTAGTCGACGACTTGACTAGTTAGCTAGTGAAGCAATAAAATTGTACTAGTCAACATGTATGACAGTTAGCACTTCACTAGTTAACTAATCGTGCACAGTCGTCAACTAGTGCATGTTTTTGTCAAACTAGTTCAGTCAAGTCGTCGACTAGTTCGAAAAATTTCTAATCTAGTTCGGTCAAAAATCTAGTTCGGTCAAAGTCCTTACTAGTTGATTACTGAACTAGTAAGACAAAATTATACATTTTAACTCGTACTAGTTAACTAGTATGACAATTTTTGCCTTTCCAACACGTGTCAACTAGTTATCTAGTGGACATTTTGGGCTTTACTAGTTAACTAGTGAGAGCCAAAATGCTCACTAGTTAACTAGTGCAGAAAATTGCCGTCCAGTAGTTAACTAGCAAGCCGAATTTATGTTTGACTAATTGTTAAAGGTTTTGCTGCACACTAGTTAACTAGTACGCCTTTGTGCTTTTGGTCTACTAGTTTGCCATTTTTCGCCACTAGTAAGATGAAATAAATGCATACTAGTAGGATATTGAATAAATGCTTAAAGGGCTGTCCATACAGACCTCATTGAAAGTGTTACATTTAGCTGACACTTTTATCCAAAGCGACTTACAATTGCTATATAGGTCAGAGGTCGCACGCCTCTGGAGCAACTAGAGGTTAAGTGTCTTGCTCAGGGACACATTGGTGCTGGGTCTCTCACACCAAAGGCATGCGTCTCATCCACTGCGCCATCACCACCACCAAACGTTACTGAACATTTCAGGCTTCTATGTTTACGTTCAGGAATTCTGCTAAGTTTGTTAGTCATTTGTTGCAATGCATTTCAAAAATGTCACTGATTAGTGTAAAATTAATAACACATGATAATTTAAAAGAAAAAAAAAGTCAGATCGACATTTTCTGCATGAAGTCTGTGAATCCCCCTCGAAATGAGATATTTCATCTCAAGGGGTTATCCTCAACAATAAATTCAAATCTACATTCCCAAGCTGTCTATAAATCAGATCATGCAATGCTGAAACTGTGTCACAGTGTAATTGCTGAAATGATTGTGTTTTCTTTTTTTAATTGAAGGAGCATCCGATGCCTTCGCAACATAATCCATTGGAACTTAATCACGACCTTCATTTTGAGGAATGTGATGTGGTTTCTGCTTCAACTGATTGACCAACACATTTATGAGACCAATGAGGTATGACACACTTTTCAACTACATTTCAGACTGTTAATATGTATGTATGATAATTATCATTATTTCGACTGAATGACTACTCTTCACTGATGCAAGACAGCGTGACGCGAGTGGCATTGCTTTTATAACATGCTTACAACACAATACAAATATTCATTATACACATTACTAAGCTAATTTAAAGGGATAGTCCAAACAAAAATGAAAATTTTCTCATTTCATCCCCTTTTCATTCATATTGCTGTTTGCTTTTCAGGGACTATAAAGTATGTCCTAGCAAAAGTACACTTTGAATTGAATAATAATTTTGTGAAAATCTGTGAAATCTATTTAGTAGGAAACACCATGTAATGGCTGTTGAACATGCATAACAACAGAGTTTGGCTTGACACGTTATTTTCCAGTTGCAATATTAAAATATTAAAAAAAAAATATCACCTTGCATGAAATATTTGAGAAATTCTGGGGTATGATGTTGTTTTAAGACCTAAAATAAGATTCCTGTTAGCACCTCAATGAACTCTGTCTCTCTCTCTCTGTATAGCCCTGGTGTCGTCTTATGACAACGATCTATAATTACTTTGTGGTGACCAATTTCTTCTGGATGTTTGTGGAGGGCTGCTATCTTCACACGGCGATTGTGATGACATATTCCACGGACAAGCTTCGGAAATGGGTCTTCCTCTTCATCGGATGGTGTGAGTACACTCCTCTTCATAAATGTACTCGTTTCGCAAGGCCTAATCATTTGAAATGTGAACGCGGAAATGAAGTCTGCTATTCAGCAAAGTTTAAAAACAACCTGGAGCTTTTCTGTGTGTCGTGTGACCTTATTAGAGCGAAACCTGTAAAAATATGTTCTCACTCCAATCAGAAACAGAAATAGAGTTATATAATAGAATATAATATAGAATATCTATTTCCCCTCAGAAATGATTAAATTTCTTAATTTATACTGTTTATTTTAGTATTTATTATTAATTATTAACATTTATTTAATATTTACATAACAATTATACATTTTTGAAGATAAATTCACAAGTGTGATGCATTAAATGCATTTGTTTTATAATAAGTGTCATTTGTTTAACTTTGATTATATATTTATTTTTTTATGGAATATCCCCAATATTTGACCCCTTAAATTGTCTTCCAGGTTCATTTATTTTCTATGTATATACATAATGCTTTTATACTGCAATTACAACTGCGTAAATAATGTTGTGAGATTCATTATTTAAATATACACATTTTAATATAGAAAAAATGAGAAGGGGAAAAATGATATATTTTTAATTATGAAATTAGGTAGGTGTAGGTGGTGGCAAATCATTTTATGTCTAAAATGTCACAATATTCACCCTTATTGTTCACTGAACATTATTAACAGTCATCTCATTATATTTTCCTAATGTCTTGTACCGTTATAACGTGAATATGCATATGCAAATGATATGCAGATGAGGATTTACACAGTAAAACGATGGTTATTTGAGGGAGGAGACACATGTGCACACACTCTTACTCTGAGTGGGGTTTAGAAAGCAAATTTAGTGCAGGTTAAATGTATTTGATAGTTTTGGCTCATTTTTTATAAATGAGACCCCAGAGCTTATCAAAGAGGCCCTTTCAAAGGTCAAACCCAAAGTGTCCTCATATTAGGCTGGGGATGTCACACATCGCCCTGAGCCGTGGAAACTAGATCTGCTCTAGTTTGAATCTCTCAAGGACAGACGTCCGCCCAGATCCCAGAACCAAATGTGGGACTGACACCACACTGTTTTCTCACACTCTCACAAGAACTGCTGGAAGACTAACTGGTGGAAAGGCTTGCGTGTGTGTAGGAGACTTTATTCATAGTGATAATGGAGACTAAAAAAGGCGCTGTGTCTTTTCTCTGGAGGCGAACACATGTACCTCAGACTGGAGACAGGCATCACCGCACAGTTGCCCTGAACCGATCAACTGGATTAACATATCTGGAGGACAGCGCGAGAAAATCTACTCTAAACAATGCTGGGTTGTTTCAACCTAAAATGTGGGTCAAATATGGACAAACCCAAATGTTGGGTTTAAAATTTCATTTAAAACTTCAACTTTCACTTTCAACTGTAAATTTTAACCCAACATTTGGGTTTGTCGTCCATATTTGACCCAAATTTGGGTTGAAACAACAACCCAGAGTGCCATTCCGAACGGCAGGGATAATGGCCTCTAAATGAATAACAAATAATTCTGCAGGATAATGAAGAAACCATGGCCGTGTCGAAATTGAAATTGCGAATTGAAAATACGCCCAATGGAAACGTGGAGTTTTACGAAGATTTACGAAGCTTTACTCATTGATTTGCTGTTTGGTTGGTCCCACTGTTAAAGTTGGGTCTCTTATTAACTGTGGGTATTAAATTGGGAAACTGGCAAGAGATTCAATTTTAGAATGATTTAGAATAATGATTTTTTTGTGTGAAATACATCAGTGTTGGTTTGGAAAGTCTCGTTAATCCAGTCCGAACCAGCAGGGTCCTTGGTATTACTGTTACTCCTTTAGGTTTAATAATTTGGGATATTTTTATTTTATATTCCTGGGTGGAGAAATAACCCAGGTGGTGCAGTCTTGTTAGCCAAGGTTAATGATAATTAACTAATAATAATTAGCCTAGCATGCATGGATAAAGGTTAAATGGTAAAATGTTTTAGCAATTTTCAGCAACTGGAAGTTTTCTTTCAACTTCCATTTTCTCTAATCAACTATGGTTGTTTTTCAGATATTTAACACAAGTTTTCAGGTACAGAAAAAATATAATATTGCATATAATCTTCACAGCATGGATTAAATAAATATTAATCATTATTGAAGTTACAAAAGCTATTCATTCAGGAATGTCATCTGTTGTTGATTAACATTAATCACAGACAGCAGGAATATTAGGTTGCTGTCACTTTAAGACACAATGACTCCTTCACTTATAACAGACTATGTTTGCTAGCATACAGACGCACATGTTGACATTCTCATGTGAATTTTTCATTCAATTTGCACACTGTATTCATGCTTTCAGTTTGTGCACTTCAGACGTACTTCACACACTCTTCTCTCAGCGCGCTCGGCCTATCTTTCGCGTCTTGCTCTTGAAAGTTTGAATTAGCAATATTTCACGCAGCCGCCATTTTGAAATGGCTCCGGTGGGAAGTGTCGCCTTTAATCATAGGAGAGTCGTGAATAAAATCGTTGTGTTTAATGTAGAAATTAGTTATTCTAAAAATGGACAGTCATACTTTAGACTATATACAGTGAAATTCATTTTTAAATAAATTGTCCAAGGTATTTTTGTCTATCTGTACTTCCGGGTTCTTCCCACCAGAGCCTCGCTTTCCATTTCAAAATGGCGGCTGCGTGAAATCAGCGTATAGCCAAGCTTGAATGAGTTTAGTGTAAACACAGATAGCAACGAGTAATGTTCAGGCATCTCCTATTAAACACAGTTTACAAAGAGTTTCCCACACTTTTCGATCATCACCGCTGTGATGTATTGGGAAGCCGGAAAACCTATCCATGGACAGAAACATACATCAGCCGAACGCTACTTTCCGCAAACCATATTATATCAGTCGTCAGATGTGAGATGTTTCAGTTTGGCTGTTGACTAGTTTGCACACTCACTACACTCCCTGTGAGTGTAATTTTCTCTCCAGGGTTTGGTGTCGTCAATGTTAATTGTTTCTTGTGTGTGAGCAGACTTACTGAAAACGACATCCTTTCGTGTCTCGATTTCCAGTGTCTGGCCTTAGGCGTTGCTTGCAGTGCCGTCAAGCTGACATATATTCCTCGGCTACTGTGAAACTCTCGTTCTGTGCTCTTTCTCACTCAAGACACACTGTCTGGGAATAAAGTCAGGTTGTCAGTTCCTTCTCGGCATTCAGTTCTGAAGTCTTGGATCCCACCTTTCAGCTCTGGCTGCTGGCTTTGATATCGGGTTAATCCATGCCAGGTTCAGTGCTCTTTGAGGGGTCATACTTGCATTACACACCATTATAGGAAGAGCCCTACCATAAAACTGGGCCACATTACCCTTTGAACATCATGGGCATATAGATCTGCTCAAACAATCTTGTCGTCACATCATGAAGTTGTTCAGTTTATTTATAGAGCACATTTAAAAACTGCCACAAGACTGAGGAAAGTGCTGTACAACAAGATCACTGATGGAAAACCACAATAAAGCAATTAAAATTGGATTTTAATAAGCCAGGAAGAACATGTTCACTTAATCTAATCTTTACTCCACAAACACTCGATCTCCTCGACCACTGAGCCTGAAATCGCCTCAAAATATCAAACATGTTTTGATCTCCTCCGAATCAAAGTCTGAAGCTAAAAGAGATTTTCTGTGAAGTCCGAACGCACAAAATCTGCAAAAGTCTTGTAGTGTATTCCAGCCTTTAGCCGTTCAGAGAGATAGCAACATGACATCATGACTTTTGCGTAAACATACACGCCACTTTCGAGTCAAGTGGCGTGTTATCTCTACCAGTGATGCGTGGGTTGATCCGAAATGACAGTCGTTGACAGCAGTTACGGGTCATCCAAAAATGTTTTTAATGATATTCGGGTCGCGGTCGGTCGGGTCGTTTGAAAAAAGATGCCAATTAAACATTTGTATTAATATAGTACTAGACACAATTTTTGATGAAATATACAGCCCTACACATTTGTAAGAGCCACATAGGGATTAGTTCATCTGAAATAATAATTTAGTAAAAATAGTAAGAAAATATTTCATGAAGATTTATAAGAATTATTATTTTAGTTATTTTGGATTTAAAATCTATATTTAGTAATGTTTAGATCTGATTATATTTAATTATTTTGAGCTTCCAGTCAGATCGCACTACGTCACAACGCAAGTGATTGGATGTGTTTTAGTTTGAAGTTAGAGACGTTGGAAGCAACACAGTTTTTTGACCGTGCGTACCATGTAACAGTTTTGTTTTATGTTTTAGAAGTAAACATTTAAAAAGAAGATCGTGGTTTGCTCGTGTTTCAAATACTGGTTACAATTTGACTGACTTCAAAAGGTGGTACAGAAGAATTAAACGGACATTGGGTGCCACTGCCATTACATTAGTCAAAAAACTCGCTAAAACTAACGGCGCTGGATTAACTGGATATCGACGATGGCGTTGTTCAAGGAGAAGCAGCGGATTGGACTTTAGCGCTACAAACAAGTGACAGAACCGGGACAGTTTCTTCAAGAGACCCGCGACACGGATCTACATGCACTAATCGGTAGCTAACAGCTGGTCGACTTGTCAGTCAAAAGAGAAGTGAGGTAACCGCGCGGCGCGCGTTGAAGTGAGTACTTTTTTCTTCTAAGGACGTGATACGGATGCACGAAGATAATGAGTGAGTTTTGAAAAAGAAAAAAGATAAAAAAGGTCGAACAACTTCCCCCTGTAAAACGTATGCTTATTGCAAGCTCTGATTCAGTCAATGTGGAGTTATGGCGATCTTTAAGAAGTTGTTTTGCACTCGGTTTATCTAGAAAACTTTGAAGAAAGTGTTTGAAACGTTTGCATACAACTAAAGCATTAACTCTCCTACTTGTAAGATGGCTGAGGAAGATGAACAAAGATGTTTTGAGGATACAATGAAAAGGGGAAGGTCACATAAGCTGACAGAGAAGGGATTAGAAGAGAG